TCGTTCAACTTTCCACGTTAGGGTTTAAATCTAAGCATGCGCATAAACGTTTCTTCTTGAGAATTAATTCTTTTCATCAGAAAATTCTCCACCATGTTTCAGTGCAATGAGCCCGAGAGATAAATAACGGATCGCCTATACAGTTGAGAGGTAGGCTTTGCATGGTATTCTGGTTGTTGATGCAAGAACTTGTGAAACTAATTTTGCCGCCCTGTTTGATACTATGCTTTTCGACCCACCTATTAGCTGATTAAATAAAAATTCGTAATCCTCCATCTCCGGTGGTGTCAGACGGTAGTCCGACACTTTCAGTGATATCCGTCAAACTAAGCCCTAATAAAGTGCCTTATTTCTGCGATTCCGTTGGTGGATAGGATGAAGGCCTTAGAGACATGGATAATTGTTCAGGAGGTTGTAACCCTGAACGAACTGCTCAACTGGATAAAAAATCATCAATAAGAGAAAAGAGTGGGGGAGCTTCGAACGGCGTTCGTTCAGCGAGGTCAAGTCAGAACAAGGTTGAAGATATTCGTGAAATAAAAGTCATTTCGAAATCTGATCTGCTCATCCAGCAGATTCTGAAACGAAAAACTCATCATGCTTGACATCACTGACTATTTTATTCGTTCTCCTCGTACCCAATCTGTTGCAAGAAACAGTCGAACTCTTTCGATCACCGTTTGCTTGAGGATTAAATGACAGGACCATGTAACGAATAGATCTATTTCTTTCTGAGCACAAAAATGTCAATATACGTTGAAATTAGGAAAATAAATTTTTCCTTGTTTGACAAACCGGTTGTGAGACGTCAGACCATGAGTTTCTCGTGCAGCAGCTGAATCAGGGCAGACGTCGATCACCAGGAACCAGGTGAACCAAGATCGGCATTCTGAGAGAAATATTTCTTTTTATGAGTAGTAATTGGCACCGCAAAGCAAGAATAGGAAAAAGCTACCAATTCGCGCGACACGACACACTAGAGACATTCTACTTATGCTTAGATGCGATGATCACAAAGAACAACAAACATCATATCCCATGATTGGATTAGCTAAGAAAGCAAGGAAAAGACAGTTTTTCGAAGAAAAAGGGAGGAATAGAGACAAAAACAAACACAGCAAAAATCCAGAATTAAACCTGGTATTTTTGCTGAGGCAAACCCGTAAGACTGTGCTTCCAACCTTCCCAATATGCTAGAGTCTGAGCTTCGGCAAAAGACAACTGGTGTCTGGAACAGACTCCTTCCATATATTTGCACCAGGTTAATCTTGGCCGTCCCCTGGGCTTTATGCCGTCGGATGGGCAAGAAAGAGTCGATTCGCGTTCCTTTCTGAACGCATTTGCAGCACATGCCCAAACCATCGCCGCTCTGACTTCGTAGTCTGAAGAAGCAGCGGCTAGAGACCAAGACTCTCGCGGATGTCTTTATTACGGACCTTGTCCAGATTTGAGGCCAGAGGCTCGTCTCAAAAGCCTATTTCAGAGGCTTGATCCGAGACTGAAGTTTCTTAGTCGTGGCCTGACTGCAGGTAAAGATGCAAACGACAATCGATGACAACAACGAGAAGTTAACCTCCAGATTCGGCTGTGCCTTAGTTAGCTAGGTTCGAGCCAGTTCACGCAGAATGCCACTGACTACTCCAATCCGTCAGTCGATCTATTCCTCATATTTTTCATCACTAGCAAATACGAAGCCGAGGTTCTTCAGCCATACCGCCTGCTCCATTCCTTCTCAGCTTATCTAGAAAGAGGAAAACGTAGAAGAACGAGAAAACACTGGGCTTTTTGCTCTAGAAACGTCCACACGCATGTCGGCCATGTCGCACTCGGATACGAACCTTTAGATGCCAGTATAACAAAGTCGTATGCAAATAGCAACCTTCTCGTTTTTACATCTCTTGCATTGATACACTCATCACTCCTGCTGCGCCTGACTATTCTACCCATGTACAATACAAACAAGACTGGAGAAAACGCAACCTTGGCGCCCACCAGTGCAAACGCTGAAAGGTTCCAACTTAACGACGTTTACTATGACGCAACACCAGCTATCACCATGTACTGATTGGAATATCCTCAGCAACTGACCACTGATCCAATATCTTCCCAATCATGCCC